GAGGTTGGCGGGAAGGTTCGCTTGTATTCTAAATGAAGCATTTGAGTTTGTAACTGTTGCACTCGTATGATGGATGCGTAGTTTAATTTCAATTGCAAGATGGTGGTTACAAGTGGGTGGCATTCTAGCAAAATCCCAAAGATTTTCTTTGATACCAAAACTTTTGGAACGAAATTTGGCAAAAAGTCTTTGGCAGGTCCGCACATTTACAACCTCAATGCTCAACGTGTCATATAAGTTTCTGCACGCAACCGGTGCATTACTTCCTTTCTGAAACTCATATCAAGTACCCCTCTTAAATGCACTCTACTCCCTTTGCATTTCGCAACTAATCAATGAAGAATATGGAAGGCAGCTCTCTTGTATCCCAAGACAACTCATGACCTCTTCTACCTTGAATGAAGAAATAAATTTGCTTGCAGGTAGTAAAATACGACAGAACTTTTCCGCCAACCTTCTATATTGTGTGGGTATATGTATATAAGTTTGATTGCATACTGTAAAGTCATTTATTCATCTGAAATCTATAAAGTACGTATGAAATCTGCATGGAAGCTGTGCCGTTCGTTTGCAACCCATCATTGGTAGGTGCGATTTACTAACACTATCAGTCTTCTGTAGTTCCATGTAATATAAAATGAAATGTTTTTTTATTTGCTCAATGCGAGGTTGATGTCCTTTCAGTAGGAAAGAAAAGTAAAGACTCAAGTATGTGTTCGCTTGCCGATCCATTCAAAAATACGTATTCCTAATAGTTAAACGTCTGAAATAACGAGCTTCCACGCGGGTTCAAACCTTAGGGCGGTAGAGTATATTTGGTCATAAGTGTAGTGAATGCTCAGTAGACCAAGATATAACATGGAGCGATTGGTCGTATGCATCGTACATATGACGCACTCTTTCTCTTTCCTCACTTCTTTTTATTCGTCATCGCGTTATAAATATAAGGCGCATGCCCTGAATGATGGATTGTATAAAAAAAAAAAAAACAAAATTTTTAATATATTTATTTATTATTCGGTAAAACTTAAGTAGAATTAGTTCACTAAGCGCGTACGTCTGAAAATCTAAATCAAGTAATTTTATGGATTTACTATGAGACGAGTATATGTAGCGTCTGCTTACTCTAAAATTGGTTTAAGTCTATACCTTTCAAAAAAAAACTCTTTTATGTATATATGTATGTGTATTTATATACAAAAAAAAAAAGTCTTTGTAAAATAAATGGACTTAGGACTACTTAGTGGCATATACTCAACACGCGCTGCTCATACGCATTGTATATATGTATAAAAATATATCATAAATATGAAAAATTTAGAAAACACACATACATATATTATTTAAATATATGTAAGGTAACTAATAATATTGATAACATGAAAGAGAACTGAGAAATGATCGATGTTTGCACATGTTGTTTTACGTTATTCGTGGGTGGTTGGTGCCATGTCTCGTCGTTAATTATCGAATAAACCAGCCAATCAACCAATAAAAATAAAAATAAAAAACCGCATATAATTTATATTTTAATTAGTAAAAATGCGGCATTTAAGGGCCTCATAGACAATTTTCACTTCATAAAGTTACAATGATTAAAATACATTTCATGGATGAAACTATTGAGAAATTTAATAATTTCTGCGTTATGCTGCCATTGCTGGTCAAATAAATCAAAATTAAGGCAACAAGTAAAGGTTAAAAGAGTAGATGTGGTGTGCGTGATGATAATTAGTAACACGTGAATATGTTTTCAAAACGTTTCCACAGTGTCTGATGATACATGGATTACTTTCAAATATTTAATCATTTAAATTTGAGGTAAGCACAGCCACAGTCACAAAGTTCCGGTCTCAGCTGTCAGGACGCGATGTGCTCTTCTTAGGCTCTTGAAATTGGTGGTGAGGTCGTTCAAACATTTTATAAGATCGTGGATAATACTTTAGATAGCATACAGCCGCACTTCTATTTGGATTTTCCAAACAGTTCTGACTCCTCACCTTTCACTATTTTGCCCCATGGATCTTTACAATTCACGGCTGACTTGATAACAGCGTGACTATTGAAAAAAAGTCGCTTTTTCCGATATATCTACTTGGCGCTTTATTGGGGAAGCATTCTTGTTCTTAAGCTGACTTATGAACGAATCAAGAAGTATTAGCTAATTTAAAGCATCTTCCACTTAATTTTTTAGAAAGCCATAACAAACATCATTAGGTGAATTTGATTGTTATTTCCCTGTATCCCAACGAAGCTTTAATCTCTTTACCATTATATGAATATGAACGAAATAATTAGAACTATTTTCTGACTTTTTCTATCGTATACAACGGGTATACGTAGAAAATTTCAGTTTAATATGCTTTACATTTTTAGTGTTACATTCTTGCTGAATTGATCATAGCGAGTTTGCGAATATCGAAATGGGCATACGTCACAGTTGTGGAAGCTGCTAAACAGGCTTAAGAATATTGTTGTGATCGATCATTATGGCGGCGTAAAGACCTTTATCAATTGATATTAAATTGAATTAAAAATTTCGAACTGATTACAATTTAAGTTCAAGTTTAAGCTGCATTGAACTCGTATTGGGTACTAAAAAAAATATGTGAGAACATTTTTTCCTTTTTTTTGTTGCAAAAATAAAAAACGTGACTATAGTTAAAAGTTATAGTTTTTTAACGTGTTTTTCGCATGTTGTTTCTGCTTCTTTTTTTGTCGAATATTCGGTAAATGGTAAGTCATATATGTTTTGGCCGATAAGCTAAAATGCTTTGTGCTTGCAGTGGACGATACTCTTCCTTTTGTAGGACAACGGGATGGAAAAATGGACTGAATTTCTAGTGTAGCGTCGCTAAAACAAGTGTAACGTTAATAATTATCCAAAGTCTATCTGACATTTTACGAACTTATTGAGTGATGTATTATATCCGCAAAAACTATTTATCATAATAAGTAAAATTTCAATCCATGCGAATAGTCAAACTTTCGATGAATATGCTTGTTAAGGATATAAGGATATGTGATTATTCATTTGAATTCCGAGATGTCAAGCTTCAACACAGATTTAATTTGTTCTCAAAAAGCGTGAATTCGCAAAAAAACGCTTCATTTGCGATTTTTCTGATCACATTGCGAAAAAGACAGTTGTAAACAATGATGACCACTGCTTTGGTATATTCGAGAGAGAGACAATTGTGGAATTGTCCTTCTTTGTTGTTGTAATTCAATGAAGTCGAAGCACAAAAATGGAAGTAGAACGTCCTAGTTTCCTTTGAACATGTAAAAGATGTATTCACTGCAGGGATACTATTACCTCCTTTTAATTATAAGACAATCTTTAACGATTGGTCCTCTAAACAAACCCCTAGTAATCGACACAAGTGTAAAGTTGTAAGGATGTAACAAAAAGTTTAATATTGTTTTGGAAGATATTTCCTTCCTCTCGCGAACTCATAGCAATCTATGTAACCATAAAACATTTCCACTCACATTTTAGAATAGTAGAGTTATACCAAACGCTCTCGCTCCCCCTCCCTACTGAATATACCTGTTCAAATATTTCAAATTAAAGTATTTATCTTATAAATAACAATTAGAATGAGATCATATTACAGAAATACTTTTAATGTGAAATCAAGATCATTATCATTCTTAATAATATTACAACTTACTCACTATACACTACTGTTGCAACTAAAAATCTAACATCATCATCATCATCATCATGATCATTGCTACATTACATAAAAATAGAAAGACGTGAAAACTCTTAAGTTACTATTTCTTAATGTAGTCTGGGATGGTTGCTATCAAAAAAGAATCTTAAGTGAAACTGTATTTTAAATTAAAGAAAAGAATTAACTGTCTATCGATTTCGACAGTAATTTATGAGATCGGTTTACTTTAATTAAATGCGTATAGTGAATACGATTGAATTGAATGGGATCAACTAAACCGTCAATATGGATTATATTTAGGGGCAAAAAAACAACATTTCAACGTTGACACATTGTCAACTATATTATGGCTTTTAGTTTTCCATGGAAATGGAACTTGAACTGGTAACCAGTTCGTCGAGCGCTTAAGACAAAAAATCCTTGGCATTAGTTGTAATGAAATGTCGTTAGAGTTGCTGCCCGTTGCCCATAATAATGAACAACCAAAGAAGATTTAACATTTCGTTTTCATAAGCAGTCGAAAACATACGGACATATATATATATATATATATATATATATATATTTGATATTTATACACGATTACATGACTACTTGCCTTTATGTCGATGACGTGTGTTGTTTCTTTATTTAGCTACTTATTCCTCTATATTGTGCGTGTCTTATTTTGGCCCGTTATGGTAAAATGATGATAACTCCTGTCTCATTTTATATCCGTCCATATTTCATATTGAAACATATGATTTGTTCATGATGATGATGATGGTGATGATGATAATGATGATGATAATGATGGTGTTAGTGATGATGACAACAACGATTACGATGGTGATAATGATGATGAGCCTACTTATTATAGCATGTAGTTATCGTTGCTTGTCTAAGTCGCTGGGTGAGTAAGTAAATCGTTACTTATGGCATTAACCGACATGACCGATTTTGGCATTTACCGCATTCCTTAATTATTACGGTTTGTCTTTGTTTTTTTTGCTTTAATAGAGAAAACCACTTTTTCGTTTCAAAAAAAGAAAAAACTGCTAAGCAGCAAGTTAGGCAAAGCAGTAGCAGGTAGAGCTTTTTTCGATTTCTCCCAGTAGCATAAAGATTATTTCTTTCGTTTCAAAAAAATAAAAAAAAGAAACATTCAAATTCTTTTTTCACCTAATTTAACCGCATAAATATCGATATCTGTTCACTTTAGTAGAATAATCTGACTTTGGCTAATTTTTGCTTTTTTTAAATCCTTATAGACTGTGAGAAATTCTTATTTACTAAAATTAATGCATACATACATAATTTTATATATGTTTTCGTTTGCAGTGTCGACAAGAGGATTGTGTGCATCTGTAGCTCGGTGCGTGTGTGTGTGTGTGTGTGTGTGTGTGTGGTTAACCCAGAAACACACTACACTATTATATACAAGTAAACAAGCAAAAGTTACAGCTGTGTGGCGGCGGTTGATGATCGCAGTGCTCGTAAAAGTATTATTTAGTTTATGAGTTCAAATCCTCCGTAGACCCTTGAAAAAGCATAAAATTTTTATCATCATGCATTGGTTATGCTTTGGTTTCATAACGGTGCTGTGCTTGAGCTTAAAACATGTGGCGTCATTGTCTTTGGATCCAGGTAAGTTTACCAATATTTAAATGCCTACGCTTGGTATGTGTTTTGCTAAAATTCACGCACGTAGACCGCAAAAAAAAAAAAACAAAAAACAAAAAACCAAAAAAAAAAAAGTAAAAGCTGTTTGTTTTATGATTATTTATTCTGTTGTAATACTTAGCGATTAATTTATTATCAGTTAAAAAAAAGATATTTAAAGCATTTACATGCATTTGCGGTTTGTTTCATTCTTTGTCGTCTGACTTCTTATAGTGGCTTCTTCAGAATTGGAGCAGTATATAAAAAAGGGTGATTGCGTTGTTTCGATGCGTCACATACGGTTAGTATTTTTAAATTTTTGTTTAGATAAAATTTCACACCTTTCATACTTAATGCGATTTGGTTTCGATTTCGCGTATTCTTCTTTGCCTTTCAGACCGAGACGTAAGCTGCACATATCTATAGAGGCATTGTTTATGATTGATTTTCCCACGTTAAAGCATAAGATGTCGTTTTTTTTGGACCGCAAACAGCAAAGGGTTACCTTGGATATTAGCTCATCCGGTGAAATTGATTCGGTGCATTTCGATATTCCTCATATCAATGAAACAAGCACAATACGCTCGTTGGCTTTGCATTTCCATAAAAGTCGCATTTCGTTATTGGTCGATTGCAAAGAAACTGCAGCACATGATGTCGAAATGAATTTCAATCAATTGTATACGCAAATGGATGATCCTGTGGTTAAATTGGTAAGTTTTCTTTTTCATTTAAAAAGAATATTTTTTATTGCCATCTACATACACCATCCAGAAATTTGTCAAATATATATATGAGACAGTTGCAGAGCAAAAAATGCCGAAGTTTTAAACTATGTTGTTGTTGGTCGGCGAAATTTCACTTTCATTCGAAGTGTGATCGGGCTATCTATTCAAAGTCTTTCTCAAATCCTTTCTTCCTATTATTCTTTCCTTATATTAATTATCTCGCTAACCGTAGGCTTAAACCTTCACGGTAGTGTACCGACATTAAACCCTCAGAGACATCTGTTCCTACCTACTATTATTCTCGCTAATTTGATTTGAACACCGTTCAAAGCCAAACTATCGTGAGGCGCTACCATAGCCGATTGGAAAAGAGTCGTTACAACCAATTTGGTGTTCACTTGTTCAACTGCCAGACCAAAATTAATCTTAGCTGTTGGTGCTCAGTCGGTGAATTATTTTACTCACCCAAGACGTGATAGCAGCTAACTTGTCGGTAAAGCCATAACACTTACCGAATGCACATACGCCTCCCCGATTGCGGCCACTTACCGCTATGTCCTTCTCATTGTTGATCTCTTCCAGACAAAAAACATTTGACGTCTATTCTTTCTTCTTCTTGCATCCTAATGAACCTTCGCATTAGGATGCATTAATCTTCGGATCTTAATGTACTTCATATGTTCTAAGCCCATTAGGTTCTATGGCATCAAATGAGGTCGCTATCGTATCGGCCTTCAGATATCCCGCACACATGTCATTACTAAGAGCAAAAATGCATATTTTTTGAATAAATTGCAACCTGATCAATTAAACAAATGATTAGAGTGGATATGAAAACTTGAGAAATCTTGCAATTACTAAAGATTTCTTTAAAGAGGGACTAAACGGGAGGCAAATTTAGGATATGGTGATGGATGTGTTAGAGAATAGCGTTTATTCATTCTATGAACACACTCTCGCCAATGTTATCAACAATGAAGAGGTCAAAGCATTGTAATCCCTACGATGTGTCGTCACTTCACTTAGGCTGATTTACTTGAGTATGCCGTTATATAGGGATTTAAGAATTTAAGGATTCAATCTTGCAGCGTCAGTCAAAAAAAGATTATGTTTATAAAATTTGAATCAAAAATCCCGTTCGAACGCAACTCATTGATCATTTCCATTGTTTTCAAAAGAAACAACACTTGTTATGGCGAATTGTTTATATTAACAGCACGATCTTGATTTGCGAACGTAAATCTTATGGTGCCGTGATTAATATAATCAACATCGTCTAAATGGATTAGGAGAGAAAGTAATGTGGTTAATAGTCTTCAAGCGGGCAGAACAATCACAAATCTTTTTCTTAAAGATTTTACTTTAGGTAAGAGACAAATTGACTTACGTGAAAACGGTGGGACGGCAAAAATGAAAGAAGTTTGCTAATTATGTATATATATATGTATGCGGATATTAAATGGGTATGTCCGTGTGCAACCCTCAGTGCGGTAAATCATTATACTGTACTCGCGTGTGGTCGTAGGTATCGCGCGTTTTCTATCGGTAAAGTCATAACATTTGCTGTTATTGGTCGACGGGGTGCGATATTTTCCAAACTGCGACAATTATTCCTCAACTTTGTCTCCACATTTTTTTTTTTACCGTTACCTTGTTGTATGTATGTGTATGGCACATGCTCTGATTGGTCATGAAAAAAATAAAATTCTTTTCCCAATGTTTCTCATAAAATGTGGAAATTTGATAAGTTTTTTAAAATCTTAGCCATAATCATTTCAGAGATGGCGTACAATGCTTGAAGGGAGAATATATTGGAGTATAAATAATAATAAATTTGTTATTGTGCTTTGAAAGGCAGCACTGTTCTGCGATACGAATTGATATATTATCTACTATAAGATATCTATGACCACGTAGTGCATTAACAAGTATATCTTTTTGAGTCTTTTAAAAGCACTTATGTGCCGGATACAGAAAGATTCGGTTGAAGCCGAATTAAATACCTTTCTTCTTTGAGCTTTTAATTCTCAAATTGTGCAAAATGTTTTTTTTTTTTTTGATTTCTTCAAGTTTCGAGAGCGTAAATATCCTTTGCATTTTGATAGCAATGTCGATAGCGCTTTGCAGCGAGCCAATTGTCAAAAGGGCGTGCATAATCGACGTGGCAATCGTCGTATGCTGAAAAATAAAATATCTGAACGGGGTAAGCATTTTGATATCTAAGAACAATCAATCGCATTAAATCTTTTGCATTCGATAGACTTTGAACAAACTTCAATTATTTGGTTTTAGAAAAAAACAAAAAACGTGATGTACGCAATTGGCTTAACCGTGAGCCAGGTTTGCATACGGAAAAATATCGCCAATCAGAGATACCCGTAGATATTGAACAGCACAGAGGCGATATACCTATGATGGGTGGCGACTGTGAAGGTAAGTTAATTGCAAACATTCGCTGTATGTATGCATGAAACGATTCATCATAATATAGTGGCTTTTAAGCATTTTTCAAAAGGACATAATCTTTAAAAAAATATAAAGAAAAAAGTGCTATAAATTGAATGAAAGAAACATTAACAGTGACAGCGTTATAACATAAAGAATAAGAATAAGAATAAGAATAAAAACTACAGGAGAGACTTGAATGTTTAAAGATTAGCTTTTAGTAATCAAGTGAATGTATCAGACGCAATCACAACGAGCACACAATCATCATTAACAGTCAGATTACAACACAACCATAATGTATATATATTGTGTTTATAGTATGGCCTTAATCTTGTCAGTTTGTCTTCCCTGAGCACTTCTCCATGAGAAGCCAAAATCAACCTCAAAACTACTCGGCATACACTTAATGCATAGAACATTATGTTCAAGCACACACGTGATCATAGTTTTTTTTTTTATAGGCATCTCAAGCATTAAGCATTGGTTATAGAGAATGTGGGCCCAGTTAGCTTATGAACGCAACCCACACTTGAGTAACATAACCGCTGCACTTTGTGTGTCTTGTGTCTCTTCGAGTTTTATTATAGAGCTCACCTTCGACACGCACATACACATTCACACAAACGCAACCACTTTTATACGCTCACGCACACTTAACTGTTAAAAGCTAATGGCTTTAAGCAGTCAGTCAGTTGCAGTTTGTTGTGCATGTGTGTGTGCAACTTGTGCGTATTGAAGATTGTTATTGTTTTTATTGTCATTATAAACGTTGTTGCTGCTCTTGCTGTTATTCTTAACGTTATTGTTTTTCTTCTATTTATTTATGTATGCAAAAAAGTATGTTTTCAAGTTTTATGCACCAAAATAAGAAAAAAAAAAATAAATAAAAACGAAGCAAACAAACAAACAAACTGCCTCATAATTTAATGTTTTCCACTGTCATGAGTTAAAAATTGCGACACTCTTGTCGAGCATGCGCTAAAACCAACAGCTGCTGGTTAAGCTGATGCTGTAGATGAGTTTTGCTCTCTTAACTTACTTTGCTGCGTTTTGTTGATATTGCTATTGTTTTACTTTATTTTGTTTTCCCTTTTTTTTTTTAATACTTTCCTGGTGGCTTTCGTTCACTCTTTGTTAGCCTTCTCCTCTTTTATTTTCATATATATACGTACACATGTATACATATATACATATTTTTCTAGACGCCCTCGCAAAATCTCTGAGCGATTTAATGGCTTTGGTGAAATTGCTTCGTGAAGACATCGCCTACCAACGTCAAGAGATTGCTTATTTGCGTATGCTTCTCGAAAATTGTGCAGGCTGTAAAGAACCTAAAGGTGACAATGATATACGCATCGAGACGACATGTCGCACATCGAACCCTTGCTATCCGGGTAAGTCTAACAGCAAATTTAGTAAAGATTTGTATTCAGTTTAAAATTAACCAAAAAAAAAAAAATAAAAAATAAATAAATAAAAGGAAACAAAAGGTTATATGCGGTTAGCATCGAATTTTGTAATGTCCATCGGTATATATGTGTACGAAAATGTGATGATGTGATGAAGATTTAACGGCGATCAGCTTGCCCCTTTGTCTTACAGGCAACTTATAGCTCTACAGCACTTGTAGAAAAAGGATATATTTAGTTTGTGTGGATGTAAGCAGTGAAGGACTTACGGCAGACCCACCTCCCATTATAACGACTTATGTCTATCCATTTCTCCGTCTGATGTCTGTCTGCAGATCGCAACCTTTAATATACTTTGATGAAATTTAGCCCACCAACGTAGTTTGGCCCAAGGATGAACGCTAATCAAAACGATTCCGATCGGACAACTTTTATGGCTACTTCTCAAATTACGCATTATTTTGTAAAATAGTCATACAGACAACTGTACGAAGTGAAATAGTTATGTAGGTCATTCAATGGTGACCCGTGCCCGCTAATAATGTTTTAACTATGTTCATCACATTTTTACTTAATTAAGGAAAAGAACCTAAATTTAGTTTCCAACTGATTTTCGACCTGAATTTTGACGAAGAATTTTAATAAACAAAAAATATCAGATCAACTATTGTGATAGCTGTACGCTTTAAGAAAACATCCATAAGGCATTGACTTTTGAACTAAATGTGGAAAGATTTGTGTCCACTTTGGGCTTCCAGACAAAATGTTGGAACGCAAAGAGGATTTTCGCTAATCATGTCGACCAAAAATACGTGGATGTTGCAGAGGGTCTCCGTTGCACATTTCCATGCGTTGCCCAAATTTAGCAAATCTAATATACCTTCTGTAGAGAGCATGAGAAATGTAAAAATTTAAGATATAAAAATTTAGACAATCGTTCAAGTTATTAATTAAAGAAACACTTATCTATAGGTACCGAATGCTTTGACTCTGTCACGGGTCCTAGATGCGGCCGCTGTCCCATGAGCATGGTAGGCGACGGTAAAATCTGCAAACCAGTTATTACTTGCGCTGATCGACCATGTTATGCGTAAGTATAATACAATACAAAAAATTCGCACCAATCCCTACGTGAACGTCCTTTTGTGAAGATAAAAAAAAAAAAAAAATGAAAAAGAAAAAGAAACAAACTGTGCATTTTGTTTTCATATTTAATTAGGGTGTGGTTGCCTTAATATTCGCGGTTATCTCTGTTTCTTTGTAGATAAGAGTAGTCAAGTTGAACCGCTGGTCGTTCTATGCAAAAGATGACATTGTGTGGTTTACAAAAATCATCAAAGGTGTAAAGACCGCTTGCTTGTTTACTTGTTTAGGGACATGATTCTTTTGTTCTACGAATTTCATTTCTTGACGACTATTTGTTGTGAAGTAAATTAAAAACATTTCACATAGATACTCTTAAGGAATAACTCATAAATTTAAAGCGATCCCTAAATGCACAAAAGAAAGACTGCATAACTGTGGTGGTGTAAACAAAAACCGCATATTCTTTATGCATAGGTTTTGAAATATGAAAAGGATCAACAGGTGGTTGGTTTAAGTGTTTGAATAAATTTACGGCTGGCTATTTAATCAAAGTCATTGTATTGTTAAGAAAAATGATAGAGAATATATTTAATGTGTTACTAAAATATTCTTTTAAAGGCACCTTCTTTACGTCACATTAACGAACAATCGTTTCATTCTTCTTTCTTTCCTTTTACTTTTTTGTATGCCCCTATTGTAAGGTTAGATATTAAAAGAGAAATATATCCCGCTAAGGAAATGAACTTCTTTTCGAAACTATACACATATTAGCTCTTTATATATATAGCATAGTGAAGGTGATAAGAAAAATTCACATCAACAGGTATACGTTAAATTAAAATACATATAATATATATATGTATATATATATATATATATATATATATATGTATGTGTTGAAGCGTATTTCTATTATTGTTACATTTTTTTAAATATACAACCATTGCGTTGACAACGTTGTTTAAATATAACTATTTTATGGAAATCAACTCAATAAGAAAAGTTCATAAAAAAGAACAACACTCACGCATGTCGCATTGAAGAGTGAATAAAATAGAAATGAAAAAAAGGAACGAGAGTAAAGCAGGCGCAGCTTGTAGTATTTTGTGAAACACGTTATAAATAAACAGATACTGCCTGCTTGTTTGCGGCACACTACCACGACGCTACACAGCACCTTCACTACTACTAGTATCGTTAAGAGCGTTAACGAGACTCTTGTACACCTACTACCGACGCTATCAACTAACAACTAACTGGCCTTTATGGGATATGATTTTTGATAATTATACGGGAATAGCAACAACAAACTTAAGAGCAATATGAAGGCAATAAATTCAAATATCAATTTCGTCTATAGTTTAAATGTAAAAATATTACTTTTGTTATTTGAGTCATTATTGTTGTAAACAAGAGCATCCGACTTAATTTATGTAAGATCAGGGCTCGTGACAATTTTTTTTGTTTATTTTTCTGTTTCCTTTCTTTCACCTTTGGCAGATATCAGTTGCATTGATGCACTGGCGTACTTATCATGAACTTTTAACTTTTTTTTAACGCAACGAAAGTTTCATATTTCATTCCAAATTCTTAATTGACGTTTACGACGTTTATTGTTATTATAATTTAAACGATACAACTTTTATTATACTAAAGCTTGTAAAACGTTTACGAATATCTAGCTTAAGGCAAAATGCCACCTTACAAACACGAACTTATTTTCTCGAATTAATTTACGAAACACCAATCAATGTATGGAAATAAATTTTTTACAAATGTTTGATAATTAGTGAGGTACAAGATTTTTTAATCAATTATCCAGAAACAAAACACATAAAACCATTATAGTGGGCCGCGATCCATCATTAAATACCCTACACTGCTTCACATGACGACTTTTCGAAGTAAGGCAAAGGGCCAAAAAACTTATCCGATTCGAGACATTTTTAATAGTTTTCGTCTATAAATCAGTGTAGCAAATTTCATTATTATATCTCAATACAGTTTAAATCGGCTCAGAAATTGATTCAGAAAGCGATTCTGAATCGATCGGTATAATAAAAAGTGGGCCAATCACAAGTTCTTTTGGGCTTTGCATATGTACGCAACAAACTTAATTTACGCTTGTACTACAAGTGGTGTAATGTATAATGACGGCAGCAGCTTGAAGACAACGTTACAAAAATAACACGAAACCAATAGAGTTTCGTTGCTTTATAGCACTGAATGAATGAGTCGCAAGAGTTTTTAACTTGTTTACAGGTGGCGTAAGATCACTCATAGAATATATCTGGATACTTTTATTGTTATTCAACTTCAATTTCAATTTATTTATTTCGTAGCTACAAAGCCAGATCCATAATTCGTGAATCATAAGCAAATAACGGCGTTTTCTGTTTTTACAAACGTATGTCGTACTGTAAGCGCGAACTTTGTCCGCGCACTTTGGTTCATTTGCAATACCAGTTTCTTATTGCAATTTTTCAGAATAATGGATGAACAGACAGATAAACGTAGCGCGTTGGAATTTTAGGCTGGTAAGTTCTCAGTGGGTATAAGAGTTTTAAAGTATCTTCGATATGAGCTCTGCGTGTTACTAGACTAACAGCCGTCTTTCGTGCACAAAGATGACGCAACTTGCAACGCATTTTGTTCTTAGTGATTTACGTAATTTGCAAATTATGTTTCATAACAAAATTTATATCGACTATTCCTACCGAATACCAAATGTAAGAAGAAGCCAGAAAAAGACTACAACAAAGAACTTTTCAACTGTCTTCTCTTAGTAGAGTAGTGACCGGTCGCAACACCAGAATATACCCTTAAATGCAATAACAAAGAGATCTTGGGATGATTAGCAACTCTATGTGAATTGTGGCTTCTTCCGGCCAAAAAGCAAAATGTTATCAAGCAAAATGTGTGAAAGATGCAAAAATGCAGGTTTCAAGAATATTTTGTTGTTGTCCCAAAGTAGTAGTAGTAGTTTTCGACTACTACGGATCTTTTTATAGGATAGACCGCAAAGCGAATATGATCTGACGAACGGCCAACAAGGCTTGGCTAAATTGGTCTTGTGCCGAGCAAGAATAATAATAATAAATATCTCTCGAGATCTGTGATGTGTTTGTAAGTTTCTAGGCATTATGACAAACCTAGTAGTCACTTACCTTTTATGGGTAAAAGAGAAGAGAATCTTAAGTCGCATTTAATTTCTTCTTTTTGCTTATGCGTATATTTAGTCAGCATTTGGTAAAATTCGATTTGATGCAATTTTTCCATATAATTTAATTATTTGATTACTTGCGAGCTGAGATTTAACAAATGTGCTGTAAATTATTGGAATTTATGGCTTAAAGAGCATCATTTGAGCGCCACCGCAGCGAGCATCGTCCACATCCAACACTATAATAATCATGATGTTTAAGAAATTATTTAATTGCTGATTTCAGTTTTAATTTATGGCCTTTGATTCGGTTACGCTATTAAGCTGCAAGAAACTTTTAAAACTGATAGAGTTTTCGTTTATTTTCTTCTTTTTTTTTTTTTTTTTTTGTTAAGTAGTAGGCGTGCGGTTTTCCTGTTATATCTTTTCTCCAGAAAGAAAAAAAAAAAAAATTTACATATTTCGTTTTTGCTGTTTTGATTATACCGTTACAATCGTGAACTAAGTGCGCCTTGTATATGTACAATGAAATCAAGAGATCTTCCTTAGCCACCCACATGCTTATAATATATATATATATATATATATGTATATATTCGCATTTGTACGTTTTAACAATGTGTTATAGTTACTGTTTCCATTTAAAATTTTAAATTTAGTGAATTTTTATAAACTTGTGTAAGAAAAATTAAACGTGAATCTATAACGCGCTCAGGCTTTCCCCGAAGATTACATAATAGACCCTTAAAGTGTATGTTAACAAAGTGTTTTCATCATTCTACAGGCTTCTTAGGTGAATAACTGTAATACGAATTTTATTACTTTATTTATTTATCTTTTTTTTTTCTTTCTCTTAACAACAATTTGCGATACAAAAAAGCATGTTTTAGCTTTCCATTGTGTAAACTCATTAAAAACACCTTCAATGATATGTAAATTTTTAAGCGTAAAAAGTGAACCACAACAGCCCACACCGTGATTACATTGTTCACATTTGCACGATTAAAGGAATGACAGCCGACAACTTATTTGCAATTTAAACGAAATGCGATTAATACGCAGTATTTACATTAAACACTACTTACTATAAGTAAGAGAGAGAGTTTGTAATTTTTTTAGGCTTTAGCAGAATATATGATATCCGTCACCAGGACGATGCAAGGAAAGTCGGTGAACTTGATCATCTTTAAATTTTCAATCGCATTTTGGTAGAAGTCTTTACAACACACAATTATACACTGGAGTCGATTGCATTTATGGCTTGTATAGACGATTTTTTTTCCAACACGTGAGGCACCACTAGATATCCTAGACATGTGGGTGGAAGCTCTCAAAAACAAGAGAGGAAAATGCTAGAACTTATGAATATTGAATCAATGTAATATACTTCGTTAGGGCAGCAATCAGCTTTGCCGTAAAAAGTCGAGGTATTGCATGTGTAGATGTAAAGTTTGTCTAACCAGTAGGCTTTAATTTGGAAAGGTCTGTTACACTCAACGGTAGTTCAACTTATAATAGAATGCAATCTGAAAACAGCTCCAGACCTCTGCAATGATGAAATGAAATAAATCTACTTTACCGAGCAATGAAGACTTAGAATTTGTGAATATGTGTCTGTAGTGTTTAATGGTTGATGACAAGGTAAAATCTATGACGGCTGTAAAACCTCTCTGTCTGCCTGAGTATCGAACTACATATTTTTCTATCGCCCTAGGCCTTAAGTGCCACTTGAAGAGGACCAGGGTCACCCACAATGGTCATCTATCTTTATATCTGATTCTTACTGTCAGTCACTAGAGGAAAAGCAGACTTAAAATTTTCTCTTTTCGTTTACATAAGAT